ACCTGAACCTGTTCAGCCTCCACAAGAGAAGGCTGAGGGGGGATCTTGTGGCCTGTTACAAACTGGTCAGGGGGGATCAGAAGGCATTGGGGGAGTCACTGTTCCCCCGAGCACAGCCAGGAGTGACCAGGAACAATGGTCACAAGCTGGCAGAGGGTAGGTTTAGGTTAGACATCAGGAAGCACTACTTCACGGTCAGCGCGGCTAGGGTCTGGAGCCAACTTCCAAGAGAAGTGGTGCAGGCTCCTACCCTGGGGGTCTTTAAGAAGAGGTTAGATGAACACCTTGCTGGGGTCGTTTGACCCCAGTACTCTTTCCTGCCATGGCAGGGGGTCGGACTAGATGATTTTCTCAGGTCCCTTCCGAGAAACTATGAAACTATAAAACACTGGAACAAGTACCCAGAGAGGTTGTGGAATCCTCATCCTTGGAGGTTTCCAGAACCCAGCTAGACAAAGCTTTGGCTGGGATGATCTAGTTGGGGATGGGCCTGTTTTGAGCAGGGGGTTGAACTAGATGACTTCCTGAACTTTCTATGATTCTATGCACTGCATTTGGTGCCCACACCAGACCAACCTTATGCACTGGCTCCGGGGCCAGTCCAGATCAGTCTGTGCTTGCACAGGCATATAAGGCCACTGCAGTGGGGAGCTATTTGCTGCATGCATGCCATGCTGGCATCCTGTGTTGCGTGAAGCACCAGAAGTGCCAGGTTCAATCTGCATGCCAGGTTGGCTCCACATGCTGCATGTGCCACCTGGCCCATGGGCCATATGTTTGATGCCTGCTTTAGGTTAAATAACTTGATGAGAGACACCTAGAAAAGACTGACAGCAGAGACGGCCAGGGTCAGTCTGGTGGGGTGCCACATGCAGTACACTCCACATGCTGGCCTTCTGGGCTGTGTGCAGTGTTGGGTCCAGCCTGCATGCGTCTGCAGTGCAATCCTGGAGTGGGACTGGCATGCATTGCATGAAGCACAGGGGGCTCGCATGAAGAGCATGCTGCGTCCCACCGCACCAGCCCTGTGCTCTGGCATGGCTTGATCTGGCTGGCAGACCGTTCCAGGGATTCTCATCCAGCCCGCAGGGCCAGATGAGTTTGACACCTGATGTAAAGTGAAGTTATAATACTGACGGTGATACTGTAGCAAGATGAACATTTATGTAAACAGTTAAATAAATGCAGTGATATTATAATGTGAAAGAAGGAATCTGTGTCTGGTCTATTAGAAGACTGAAGCCTTAAACATGCTTAATTTTCTTAGACTGAATGCATGGAAACCAGTCATGTCACTGATTTGTTGCTATTTGTTCTAATTCATAGAAAATTGAATATTTTGGACTCCTTGTCCTTGCATTCTCTATTATCCAGTAAATATTAATTGACCTACAACTTAATATTTATGTTTGTTTACACATTTATAATCAAAAGGCTTTTTAGAAAATTAAATTAGCTCATTTGACTTGCACAAAGTAAGATATTTTTATTATCTATTTAAGGTGTTGCAACATAGATGCATTTATTTTTTCTGAAAGACCCGACAAAGAATGTCTTGCATTCAAAGGCTTATTTAACTTTATTCCAACTACATAGTTGGTCCAATAAAAGATATCACCTTAAGAAATCTTTGACTCTTGCTTATATTTTTAACTAACAGTTTTCAATATCAGAGAATAATAACTGAAAAAGCTTTAGATTTTAGCCTAGAATGTGGGATCAGAACATAAAGAGACTTACACTTTTGGTTTACTAAATTAATTCAGTGAGACTTTGACTTCAGTGGGATGATTCCCGTGTGAAGTTGAGGCCAGAGTTTACAAAAAAGAAAATGAAACAGGGCAGAGGATATTTAGTGGTGGCTAAATAATCCTCGAGTTATCTTATATGTGTCAGTTATATCTGATTTAGCACCTTTTTCTGTAAAGCTATTTCTGTGTTTCAGTAAAGCTGGAGTATGAAAAAGGGAAATATCAGATGCCATTTTCTTTTTATGGGACTGACTGCTTTCAAGATTTAATTACTGCAGAGTACTTGGCTGCCTGGGAAGGTTACTAAAAAGTGCCAATTACCACAGAGTGTAGCATCCTCCGGTCCCGCAGGAGGTTATGGACTCAGAAGGGAGTTACTTGCTGAAGCTCGGATTCTGCATTGAATTTGCTAGCACAGATCCCTGTACCAGTGTGCAGCTTTCTTCCTCTGTGTTGACACAAGCATCTGTGCCAGTTAATCAGGTCCTAAGATTGAGATGCAACTCTCACCTGTGCAGGAAGACTACTTAAATGGACTTTCTGTAGGGAAATAAGTGAGGTGAAGGGAAAATACTCTAAACTAGGAGGAGTCAGGAGTCAATAGTACAGACTGCCCACTTATTGTCACTACCCCAGCCTGAAGATGCATCTTAATTTTCTAGGTAGGGCTCCTGGCCATTGGATCAGTATTAATGATGATCCAGTCATTCTTGCAAAATACTTCCACCCCACCAGACTCTTTGGAACCTAACTTCCTGCTGCATAGGTGATGTATATATTTACTGAATAGCTGTTTTACTAGCTGTATCTCACACACACATACTGTAAGGCCTCTTGCAAAGAAGGTCTTGGAGGTACTCATCACAGTTAGGTGAATTTTACTCTAAAATCAGTGCTGGCAATATTAAACCCACTCAAGCCTTCTGGCTTTTATAGGAAGAATCTTGTACTTGTTTTTATTGGATCTCAGTGCATATATTAACCATAAGGTACTTAAACCTTTGAAGCTAAACAAACTCTGATATTATAAATGACACTTACGTGTTATAGTTTTATAGTCTAGTTTATTCTGTGAACTGTTATCTTTTCAGATTGTTGAGATACCTGAGGTGGCAGGAGAGAGGAAGAATAATTAACTTGGGAGGATATTTTTTTTTTAAATCTGCTTTGGAAAGAGGTCTATGACCATTCATTTTTTTATATAGACCCAGCCATGGCCATCTGTGCCTCTTCAAGATCTGATTATTGCAGAGTACCTCTGCAACATTGTAAGGCCACTAGAAAGTGTCAGGTACTGCTGTGTACAGCTGCCTATTATTCTTAATTCTTTTGCCCATGGACCTATTTCTTTTATGCTCTAGAGATTGTAGTAGCTTCACTTAGTTTCCTGGAGTAATTTGAGATCTTTGTTTGATTTTCTAAAGCTCTAATTTGTATCCTTGGAGATTGCCTTTCTCTTTGTGGTTTTTAGCCCAGCAGTTGATATTAGGAGGCTCCACACTGAGGTCAGTGAGGTTGTTTTGGCATAGTAGTTTATCCATTGCAGGAATGGAATGTATATTTGTATGTCCGGGGGCTGGAGACAGGAGGCTCTTAGCAAAGCAGGGGGTGTTCAGCTCTGGAATTTGTTTCTGACTTGATACGATAGTGCCCAAGTTTCCATCTTCTTCATAAAATATTGCAAAACATTCTGTTTATGCTCTCTAATTACCCCCTAAACCTATCTGCTTTTTTATGAAGAGCTGTTAAATTAGGGCAGTAAGTGGTTTTGTTTGCGTGGGTTAATGTCTATAAAGCAGACATTTAATGTGGCACTTTGCTTTTCTTTTATTGTAAATGTGCTTATCAGCTGGCTCATGGTAGTATCTCTCAATTAAGGAAATATGAGGAAGATCTTCCATCTTTGTTCCCTCCTGGGCATTTTGGGAAAAAAATGAGGAATTTAGACATAATAGACTGGTTATTTGATTAATACTAATTGATTTTGAACATATGTCATCAACAGAATTAACAAAAATGAATTATCTCTCTAGATGCTTAATTGCGCTTTGATTTTTAGCTAGGAAAAGTGTCCAAAAATTCTGCCTGATTCTTGGCTTTCAAAAATCCCTCTTTTCTCCTTTGATACTGGCTTTGCCACTCGTGTCTTTCTTGCATCTGGAGTAGATTACTCCAAAACTAGTGATAACTGCAAAGGCTTTCCTGACGATATAAAGTGCTGCTTCTTGTACTCTGAGCAAGATAGACCAGAAACATATTCTGTATGTTTTTGCACACTGCAGTGGTTTATGGTGACTTTCCATAAAGTGGTAAATGTTCTGGGGTCCAGTTCCACCTCTCTTGGTCATTCTCTGCATCTGCCTTCCTGATTTGCTGACCCTAGAGCATAAGAAAGTTTAAGACAGATTTCTAGGGTGAAGCTTAGTAGAACTGACCACTTATTATGTTAGGATTTTGCCTCTGGAATTTCTATTAGAAACTTATCTGAGTGTATGCCTTTTTACATTTACAAAGAATTAGGTGATATCCTGGCTTGTCAAGGATCTACAGTAATTGCCAACTTTGTTCCTCCTTGTCCTTTGTATGCTTAGGTGCTTTGGGTGTGGTGCCGGTGGGTGGTATTGTCAGTTGCTTCCCGCTACATGGGGAGAAAAACTTTTAAGAGTCATGTATATTGCTTAGTGATACATATAGTGCTTAGTGATAGAGACGTGTAGTAAATGCGTGTAAATGATTTAAGAAGTGCTTAAATAGTTGGAATGCAGGATACACAAATAATGCATCTGGTGCAGTGTTTACATATACACATTCTCCAGCCAAGCTGTTCTAGTAAAACTATCGTGTCATCTTCTTTGGAGTGTCTATATACCACACACTTTGTTTTGTTTTCCCGAACAGCTAAAGCAAGTTTATGGAATAGTTAGGTTAGTTCTAATATTATAACATTGTCTCTAATTGTATTTCTAAGTTTTGTCGCTATCTTATATGCTTGGTTGATTAACTGGTACATTTCTACTGTACATATGTAAACTTGTTATAATTAAAAGCTAAAGTGTATATCTTTTTCTGCTAATATTGCTTTTACTTCATGATACATTTGCTTTATACCATAATAAAAACATCAAGAAAGATACAGGGTGAATTATAAAGTTATATGGTAACGTATGTGCTTTTGATACTTAATAGTTATTTCTTCTGTTATCATTTTCATTAGGGATGGTGTTGGTGCGCACTGAAGCTGGACAGCTTGTCATGGTACCCCAGCAAGCTTTAGCTCAGGCTCAAGTGCAAGCTCAAGTCCAAACCCAGGGGCAAGGGCCCACCAGCATTTCACCCAGGCTTTCAGTGCCTACAAGTGGTCCAGTTTTTCGTTTATCAACAGCCCAGGTATGTCTTTGGCTTCTCTGATTACCATTTTTGTTTATGATGAACACTGTCTTTAATCTGAACTTTTATGTAAATGTTGTTTACTTACACTTTCTTTCTTGCACTGAAAAGAAATTACAGAGAAGGGAAATACTGTATCTTCTCTTATATGGAAGTCAGTCTAGTTTCAAGAGGCCAGGACATGTCCATATTCTGTACATGCTTCAATTTCAGGAGACCTATGTAGTTTTTGTCTGAGTCCCCCAGGGCTGTGAGGTCATCAAATGTTGTAAGGTAAGCAGGTTGAACTGGAGTTGAAACTTGGTGTGGACATCTCCAGGGAAAACAGAGGGGCTATGGATTCAGTACTTTATATTTTTCATATTTTTGGGGTCATATACCTCTTTTTAAGTGTGTTATGCTGCTGTGTAACCATATGGTTCCATGTTGTAATAATGAAAAAATAACACTTTTTGTTAGTATCACTGAATTGTAATCTCCCCAGTACCTGTCAGAAATTGTAGTGTTGTTCTTAATTATTTTGTTTTTCTTTTCCTCTATATACATTTCCCATTCCTTCACGTACTGTCTAGAAGTTTGCCCCATACCCCATTTTCAGAACTACTTTCCTCTTAAGTCAGTTTTGATCTAATTCCCCATCATGATATTTTGGGAAAGTTAAAATATACCCTGTTCTTTTAGTCATTTCATATTCTATTACATTTTATCTAGCATGCATTGTTGATCCTTATGTACTGTCAAGATTACAAATTGGGTTTGTATTTTGTCAATCTGTGGTGATTTAAATTGATTGTGGTATTCCCCAAACTATTTCTTAAAAACTGCTGTAGTTTGTTAAAATCTTACCTTATTTCAACACAAAAGTAGATTCTTTTCTGTGGGGAAGCAGTTGCTATTTAATTTTTAAAGTGCTTCGAGATTCTTGTCACTAAAAATGGTTTGTTAGCACAATTTTTTTCAATAAATGATGGCAGCTTAGAGATGCTATTTAGCTTGGCTACTTTGGGCTATAACCTAAATGTAAATTGGTTGTGGTATTTTTAATGGACAGCTTAGACCTACAGCACAGGGGGCTGGCATTTACAGCCCTGGAAAAGATCACAACTAGCCCATGCTAGTTTTCTAAAGCATTTTTGACGACAAACTTCATTTAAACACAAGCAACCCCTCCCCTCATGCCTTCTTTAATCTGTGTGACTGCTTTGTCTCTATCTTTGCATTTTGGGGTGTAAATACCAATACAATCAAATTTTGACAAATGACCCAAAACTAAATGAATAGCAGGGAAAAAGTAAAGTACCAAACTAGAAAAGGACCTGCGATTAGAGCAGTTAATAATAATATAAATATAAAATGGAGTTTGAATGGTGGGGTAGTCTTAAAAAAGATGGCATCGCTGTATAAAAATGTAATTTATTCTTATCTACTTAATACTGTTCTAATATTAATTTTTCATGTAACAGTAGTTGCTGTGGCCAGGATTTATAATCAAGGTTGAAGTAGGAAATGTTTAATAGAGTACTCTAATATTAAGAAGGAAAAAGGGGAGAATAAATTCAGGATTACAGGTGTAGAGTGCATTGAAAATGTAGGTGGTTTACTTTGTAAATGTATAGGTAGCACAGTGTACTGCCACATAGAGACTGGAGTTTGGTCCCAAACCTAATCCTAAAATGTCATGGACAGCAAGCATTTGGGAGCTGCTTGTGTTATAATGTATTATATTGTATATATGTGATCATTTACCTTTGGCTAACTTGGAGCAACAGTGGAAGGAGGTTAACCCTGCTACGTTAGAATCAAGCAGCAATGTGAATGTTTACTATCCTAGAGCTTGTAGTAGTTTCAGTACTTTGTAATACTGAAATAGCTATATAGTTGCTCATGTGCATTGAGAGTTCTATGTACCACCTGTGATATTGTTTCTTCCCTTTTGTTAACACCATGTGTATTTACCATGATTTATTAATAAAGATGCTTAAATAAATAAAACAAAGTCCTTGGAAAATTAAAATTGAACTTATTTAGCCTGAAGTTTTAATTGGACTATAGATTTTTCACTCATACTACCAACTGCAATCTTTTTGTATGCATTTGGTCTTGAGAAGATATTATTTAAAAAAAGTCACTAGAAAAAATTTGTAAAACCAGAAAACTGAATCCTTTAAACAATGAAGGCTTTTACTACATAGGAGTTATAGTTGTGTTTAATTCTTTTGGAAAGCTTATTGCTTTTCCTCTTTTGGAGGAAATGTATGATGAGAAACATTATACTAAGCTTTTAGAAGCAACTGTAATTTCATTTTTCTGTCTAGTGAATAATCATGATCATGATTGGTCAGGAAAAGGAATCTAATTCTAAAAGTTCAGCAAATAATGTATGCTGCAAAGCAAAGCAAAACAAAATACTGTATCCAGCACATGTCTAATAGGCAGAACTATTTTTTCTTTTGGAGTATACTTCTGACTTGTCAGGGTTTGTGAGTTTAACTGTTTTTGTCAGTGAAAATGCATAAGGTAGGGGAAATACTTTTCCCATACATGGTGCTAGGTCTCCAAAGTAAAATTTATGAGTCTTGTTCTCTTCAGTTATTCACTCTGAAACAGTTTGCTTTAACATTAGGTAGAAGGCAGGGCAGGGTGAAAATATAGACTAACTCACACAGGGAGACATGAGCTTTTGTGGGCTCCTGATTTCATAAGCATCTAATGCAATAGCCTACAAAAGCTCATGTTTCTTTATACAAGTTAGTGTCTAAAGTGCCACCCTGCTCTGCTTTCTGCCCAACTTTAGACTAACTCCCTCTCATTAGCCATTAACTAATCAGGAGAGAGTGAATGTAAACACTAGGGCTGCCAATTACTTGCCATTAATGTGCACGATTAATGTGTTAGTTGGTTCTTGTGTTGAATTTTAAACACGTTAATCATGCCCAGGCTCTGCTCTGCTACTGTCACCGCTGCCTCCGGGCTGCCCAGTGGGGCAGTGGTGGCAGTGCAGAGGAGCTGCAGGGCAGCCCAGGTGTGGACTCATGGCTGCTTCAGCAGGAGGGTGGGGGGGACAGTGCATATAGACACACACACACAAGCAGCTGCAGCATGCACACAGCCAGGAATGCAGCCTGGCGTCATGTAGAGCAGTGCCTAGCAGGTAAGTCTGTGGAGGGGAAGGGGCAGAAGGGAGATTGAAACCCCCACAGTGAGCGGGGGGGAGCGGGGCAGGGGCTGGGGGTGAATGGGGCCCCAGGGCCAGGATGGGTCATGGGATGGAGCTGCAGGTGGCTTGTCCAGGGGCGCAGGGGTGGCACAGCTCCCTGCTGCTCCATATACCCCTGGGGGAGGCATGGGGGGCATGTAAACCCTGGCAGGTTGCCTGCTGCAGGCTAGGGCCCTGCACCCTACTGTCTTTGTCTTGGGAGCTGCACACTGTCCATGCCACAGATCCCCTGCCTGCTTGGTGGTAGGAGACACAACATGGTGTTGTGTAGCTCCTGGGGAAAGGCAGCAGAGTGCAGAGCCCCAGTCCACAATGGGCAACCTGCCCCTGCGTTGTGCAGAAATCTGGGGGGCACATGCCCCCATTGCCTCTTCCAGGGGTGGCCACAGAGGTGGGAAGCAGCATTCCATTCACTGCCCCACCCCCGCATCCTTGGATGAGCAGCCAGTGGCTCCATCGCACGACCCGCTCCAGCCCCGGGCCCCATTCACCCTAGCCTCTGCCCCTGCCCCACTTCCTCCCTCATTGTGGGGGCCTTGATCTGCCCCCACCCCCGCCTTGTCCCCTTCTCCTCCACAGACTTATCTTCTGGGTGTTGCTCTACATCCCACAGGGTTGCATTCCTGTAGGGTTACCAGATTTTCAGTTTCAAAAAAGAGGATATCTGTGTGTGTGGCGGGGTGTGGCAATATGATTGTGGGGGGGGGGCAGTGATATGCCCATGCCCTGCTCCTGCCCATCACTCCCAAGTCACAGCCCCTCCAGCCCTGCTGCAGCCCCTCACTCTGGACCCACAGTACCCCACATCCTGCCAGGGCATGAGGGGATCCCTCTTCCCCAGG